GAAAAATTATTTTTATAATAAATTCACATTTTGTCAAATATCAGTCTGAAATATTTTTCTTAAAACTTCGTCTCAGTGCATCTGAAAGATAATGGAACTAGGCTGTGTCTATGTAGCGGTCACCTCTTCTAGCGCCAGTACTGAGACATGATCTGACAGGGTACCAAATGCTCATAAAAGAAATGGAACCGAGTCTTTGGAATCGGGGTGCCCCAGGAATCTGAACAAGACCCCCACATCTAAGGAAGAGGCACCCTACTTAGGGAAGAAGGCAGTACTGCTGGGATTGTGGGATCCTTTTGAATAGCAGGCCTGTTTCACCTAAAGTTGGCCCCTCTAAAAGGCTCATAATAAGGATGAAAAGTGGGAGACACCCTACCCAAGTCCAATATTCCTTCCAACCTGACTCTGCCCCTGTGGGGCTGAACTCATTCTGCTTCTTGAATATGGATCTTGCCTCCCAGGACGAGGAGCTGGACTGTCCAGGTCAAGGAAGGCCCTTCAGCAGCCTCCTCTCCCCACTCCATTCTCACTTTTCCCCTCTGCCCAGGAGCTACAACCCTGGACCCCACTGAACTACTGGTCACCATAGTTGCCTTGCCCAGTGGGAAGAGAGCAGCCTCAGGGGACTCCTACATATCCCCAGAATGCTCTCTGCATTCCTGGATTCCCACAGAATTTTGTAGCTCTGGCAGGACTTGGAGGCAAAGGGGCCTGGTTGGCACTTGTCTGCAAGTCTGAATTGAGCCCTTACACTGGATGACGATGCAGTGCTGTGCTTAGCACCCAGGGCTTTGGACCTGGGTGAGTTCACTACCAAAGTCTAGGTTTCCTCCTTGTAAATATAGAAATGATAACAGAAACTACTTTAGAGTACTGACATACACATTAACACATCAATGCTGTGTGTCTGGTGGTGGTGTAAGAGCTTTAAAGATACTAATGCATCCAGTTCATGATGCCCAGAAGAGGTGGGTGCTGTTTCTGTTCTCCGTTTACAGATAAGAAGAGGGGTTTGCAGAGAGGTAAGGGCCATGCCCAAGGTCCTACAGGCGGTAAATGCTAGAACCAGGATTCGAAATGGTAATTTAGAGCCTGAGCTCCTAGAGCTGTGTCTGGAGCCTATTAAAAGCAGAATAAATGGTGGTTGATGCTCCGCTGCTGCAGATGCCTTAGTAAAGCAGAGGATGGCCATGATGGGGCTCTGTGTGCAAACCCCTATCCCTCCTGCTCTAACAGCCTTAAAGGATGGGGGCATGCCTGGCCCATCCACCGCTGTAGCCAGAGGGCCCACATTCTGCCTTGTTGCTCCCTGAGCACCTTCTGGATGTGAAACACAATGACACTGCATTTATCACGTGCCCACCATGGACCCCTGATCTCATTCAGCTCATACATACACACTGCCTTGTGGACAGCTGAGAATTTCAGTGTCTCGGCCAAAGGCATCCAACCAGAAGGTAGCTGAGCTAGGCATCTCCAGGACAACCTGAGGTGGACAAAGGGAGACTGATTCTCAAGGCCCTGCAATGTGCCCTGGGGTTGCTTTGAATGAAAAGAAGATTATTCCATTCATTAATTACTTTATATGGTGCTTGGATAACTCTGTGGTTCTTCACGTTCTTTTCCAGAACATTTCCAACTAATTATTTTCCATGGATAGTGATCCCAAGTAAAGGAGAGAAAAGTACACTGATGCTCACCATGACATCAAGGGAACTGTGAGGGCAAGTAAGAGCATCAGAAAATGGGGGTTAATGTGAAGGCCACATGAATCAATATTGGTCTCAAAATCTTACAATGTCAGAGACAGAATCAATGCAAACAATGTGATCTCAGAACATTGACAATTTCCAAGCACGTCCCTACCATATCTGTGATTAAAAAAAGAGACATGAAAAATCCCCTGGAACAAGACTCTCACTTGGCAAATGGTCCATCGTAACCTCAAGGCACCCAGAGTGGGCTCTTCACTGCATGTGTGTGTCTCCTTATCTACCCATTCGTGGTTCGAATGTTGTGCAACAATGCTGATGAGATCAGAACTAAAATCGAAACCAAAGGCATTATTTTGGTCCATGCACAGCTGAAGTCAAGTCCCAATTGAGCCAACCCAATCCCTTCTCCTGCCACCCCAGTCTGGTCCGCGTTGTGAGGGACAATCCAACCTGCACACCCCAACCCAGTCACACCTAAACATTCTTTGGCCGAGTTGCAGAATGACAAGTGGACCCAGGCAGGGTGTCCTGGAAACCAGCTCAGGGACATGCAGGCAGAGAATTCTGGTGTGAGACCCAGGAATGGAAGGGCATGGACCCCAGGGAGCACATCCCCTCTGCCTTGCTGCTGCTTCTCCCCATCAGGACACCACAGCCAGAGTGGTGCCCTCTAGAGTGTGGGGTGCCAGCTGACGTGGGACCTTCAGTGCCTTTGACCCAAAGTTCAGACATCTTATGTCATCCCATGAGTGCGTTGTTATGCACTCAGAAAGAAAGTCCCCTGCCTCCTCCCTTCCGGGAAAGTGCTGTAGTGGGCAGGAAACTCCAGGTCCAAGACCTGTTCCTTATAACCAGGTGTCCCTGCATAGCGATGAAACCTTCCTAGTCCCGCTCTTCCAAGCACAACATGAAGATAATCACCACCCTGGCCACGTTGTTGGCTCAACTAAGAGAGTGTTAACATGCTAGGCCAATTTGTTTGCTATCTTACGGGGACCCCAGGAAGGCAATATGGTTCTGGTGGGAAAACCCCTAGACCTGCGGAAATGATGGCAGAACTCCAAGCCAGTTCCAGGAAAGACACACACTTGAAGGACTCTCCAAAGGACTGAACAAGAAAGTGGATGCAAAAGCACCTAGCACACAGAAGGGACTCAAACGTTACCAGTGGTAGAAGTGGTGGAGGAGGCAGAGGTGACAATTTTCCTGAGTGACACTGCATCAGGCATGTTCAGCATTCACTTTACCGGCGTAATCCTTTTGATGATCACAAAAACCAAAGAGGGAAGCTTGTTCCCATATTACAGGTGAGGAAAGCGAGGCCAAGCTCACAGAGCTCACGAACAGTGGGGCCAGGAATCACAGGGGGTCTGCCTGCATTCTGATTCCTCTTCCAACCACGCTTAGCACCGTCTGACTAGTTTTCTTGCAGCCTCCGATGGTGACTCACAAATAGGCAGACCACAACTCATAGCACTCTATGCTGGAGCAGCCAGCTAAATATTTAAACCACAGACTGTAGGCCCCCTGCCTCATCCACAGATACACAAGAGTTCGTTTTGCTCCCATCCCTCTCCACTTAGCTCATCAAAAAACCCATCCCCAGGAAAATACAGCTTGTCGATAAGCCAACCCACTAAACCTGGATAAGACTAAACACAAAACATCAGCACATTTTGAGACACTTTACAAGGACAGTCACACCCAGGTACTTCGTGGACCAAGGACTCAGGCAATGCTGGGTATGGCTCATGACAACACCTCGGAATGTTTGTGTCTACTTAGTTCCCAACAATAATGCAAATAAGCCTTGCTTTCACAACCTGTGTGCTGTGTGCACTGAGTCCACATCAAGCATTCTTTAACCGACTGATAAATAAAACCCACAGGGATGTTTCAAGGTGTCAGCATAGCCAGGCCCACAGTAAGCACTGGCTTCCAGCTATCCCCCTATCTCTCAGAGCAGCCTGGCGGTCTCCTTGGTACAGACCGTTTTTCTGCCCTGGTGGGCTGCAGCAGACACCTCCAAGTCACCAGGGCTCACTCACCCCCACCTTAAAGAATGAAGACATTTAATTATACAAGGTAAGACCTAACCCCAATAACCTCAGAAGGCCCAGGAACTGTCGGTGGTGAGAAATGCAAGCAATACTGGGACCTGCAAATTCATGACTCTACTCTAGGAAGAGGTGAGCAGGGAGGGTGGGTAGCTGACGAAAGCTCAGTCAGCAGGAGTGCGGTTGGGTGATGCTTCCCCCGTGGAGGAGCTAAGCGGTAACCCTCTTTGCTGATGCTTTCCTCTCTACACCCCTCTCCTCCCCTCCCCTCCTCTTTCCAGCAAATGTCTCAATCTCTTGAAACGGCTGTGGTTGCTAAAATCTCACTAGCAAGTTTGGGACACTGATACACTGCATCCCCCATATCCTGCTCTTCTAGGTCATTTCCCCGATTCTATTAAAATATTTAAACAAAGGAATCCCATGGAAGGAGGGAACACAAATCTCTTTTGGGGATACTATGCCAATGTCTTTATAAAATGTCATTTTGCAACAACCTTCCCAATGTCTCCCCATCCCCAGTGTGAGAATAGCCATATAATACTTCCTTGATAGAAAAGGCACAAAGGGTAAAGATGGCGGCCGTATAAAAAGCCGATGCACTCGCCCCTCTCGTGAGCAACACCAATTACACACGAATGTAAGTAGAAATTACTCCTGAGAGACAACTGAGGAATGAATAACCAGCTTCTGACAACGAACGAGAGAAATAGTCTACAGGGAGAAGCCCATGAGGCCGAGGGAGCGGGAGTGGCGGGAACGCTCCACACCCCGGGAGGCATCCGCGTCCCCTCTGCTCGGTGGGGCAGCAGGACCCCTCCACCCGGGGCTGTGGCCTACCTGCTAGATGGTACCAGCTACACGGCCTGGAGCCTTCAGCCTCAGACAAAGGGAAAAAACAGGAACAACAGCCACTGGCCTCCCTAATGAGAGTGGCTCCTCCATTCAGGGTGGGTCCTAGGCGCCATGAGCGTATGCGCGGCACCAAGCGGCTTCCCACAACCACCTGCTGCTCCTGTCAAGCTCGTGCCCCAGGAGCCTAAAGCGCATGCTCAGCTCCACGAGGCTTCCCACAACCACCCGCTCCTCCATTCCAGCTCGTGCCCCAGGTGCCGAGAGCGCATGCTCGGCTTTACGAGGCTTCCCACAACCACCTGCTCCTTCCTTCAGTCTCGTGCCACAGATGCCCAGAGCGTATGCTCAGCTCCACGCGGCTTCCCACAACCACCCGCTCCTCCATTCCAGCTCGTGCCCCAGGTGCCGAGAGCGCATGCTCGGCTTTACGAGGCTTCCCACAACCACCTGCTCCTTCCTTCAGTCTCGTGCCACAGATGCCCAGAGCATATGCTTAGCTCCACGCAGCTTCCCACAACCACCCGCTCCTCTTGTGAAGCTCGTGCCCCAGGTGCCGAGAGCGCATGCTCGGCTTTACGAGGCTTCCCACAACCACCTGCTCCTTCTTTCAGTCTCGTGCCACAGATGCCCAGAGCATATGCTTAGCTCCACGCGGCTTCCCACAACCACCCGCTCCTCTTGTGAAGCTCGTGCCCCAGGTGCCGAGAGCGCATGCTCGGCTTTACGAGGCTTCCCACAACCACCTGCTCCTTCCTTCAGTCTCGTGCCACAGATGCCCAGAGCATATGCTTAGCTCCACGCGGCTTCCCACAACCACCCGCTCCTCCTGAGAGCCTCAGCTCCAGGTGTCAAGAGCGCATGCTCGCCACACGGCTTCTCACAACCTCCCGGAACAAAAGGCCGCACGAAGTCGCTTCTACACGGATCACTTTTAATGCAACCAGAGAGAGAGAGAGAGAGGACCCTCCGGAGCCCTCTGGGGTTAGAAAGGCTGGTGATCTGTATGGTTTTCATCCCCCCCGCACCACCTCCACAGGGTGGGCAGGGGCTCTGTCTGCGTGCTCTGGCCTGTGTGCAAGGTTGCTGGGGTGTATTTCTGGATACGTGGCCAGAGTGGAGCCCATTTCTACCAGAACAAAGAGCAAGCAGGACCAGCGGGGCATTATTACACACAGCTGCCCTCCCCGCCCAGAGCCCCTCCTGCTCGGTGGTCCAGTGCCCTGGACTTACGCACCCGCTCAGCTTTTACCAGTCTGTCAAAACCACCTGCTACACAGACTACATAGAGACGGCTTCTATAGAAGGCCGCTTTTCCAAGACTGGAAAGGACAGCAATTTTATTTTGTCTAATTCATATAAACAAACATAGAAAGTCAAACAAAATGAGACAACATCTCTCAAATTAAGGAATAAGAAAAATCTCCAGGAGAAAAAAAAACACCCCTAAGTACATAGAAATAATTTGCCTGATAAAGAATTCAAAGAAATGGGCATAAGGGTCCTCATCAAACTTGAAAGTAGAATAGTGGAACTTAGAACTTCAGCAAAGAGAAAGTATATGAACGAACCAAGCAGATCTGAAGAATACACAGTAACTGAAATGAACAACACAGAAGAAATCAACAGATTAGCTAATACAGATCAAAGCAGTGATCTAGAGACAGACTAGTGGAAATCAACCAGTCAGAACAACAGAAAAAAGAATTAAAAACAAGGAAAAAAAGATAATCTAAGAGACATCTGGGTTAATATCACACATGCAGATATTTGCATTGTAGGGATCCCAGAGGAGAGGAAATAAAAACACAAAAACTTTATTTAAATAATGGCTGAAAACATGCCTAACCTGGGAAAGGAAACAGCCATCCAGATCCAGAAAACACAGAGTTCTAAGCAAAAGGAACCCAAAGAGACCCACGTCAATACAAAATTTAAAGATAGAGACATTCTTGAAGGAAGCATGAGAAAAACCAGTTACTTATAAAGGAAACCCTATAAGTCTGTCAGCTGATTTCTCATCAGCAACTTTACAGGCTAGAAGGGAGTGGCAGGACCTCTTTCAAGAATTCTTCTCTTTGTTGAATGGGGTCTGCTAACTTCTCTCTTGATTCTAGAAGAGCCAAGTATGATACATGATAAGCTGAAGAACCCCAGCTGCTTCAGGGTTTTTACTGGGCACTAAAGCCTATTCCCTGATACTTGGTCCACACTCTGGGAAAACTTCTGGGAAATCTCTTCATCTTGCCAAGATGGAAGAAAGCCCCAGACCAGGCAGATTGGGTCAATAATTGGGGAGGGAGTACTACAGCATGGAATCCATGAACAGGCACTGTTTTCATCCAACAATACAGTTCTTGATCTATTTTTTACAAAGAGCGAGAGTGTACAAAGTAGCAAGAGAGCTTGCAACCTATAATAATTTACCCAACAAGAAATTCAAGGAGAAATGGTTCCCCAGGCATGCAAGAACTAAAGGACTTCATCATCACCATTAAACCAACCTTAAAAGAAATGCTAAAGGGCCAACCTTTAAGTAGAAAAGGAAAGGCCATAGTCAGAAATAAGAAAATATGAGAAAGGGAAAAACTTCACAGATAAAACTAAATATTCAATAAATACAGCAAATCACACATTTAAAAAGCTACTACGAAGGTTAAAAGAAAAAAGTATCAAATTCAATAAGTAGCTAGGAGATACACAACACAAAAAAATTTAAACTATGACATCAATAATATGAAGCATGTACGGTGGAGTAAAAGTGTGGTCCTTAGAGAATATATTGGAACTTAAACGTCAATGAGCTTAAAATAGACTGCTATAACGAATGATATACATAAACCTCATGGGTAACCACAAACCAAAAACCTACAAAACATACACAAAGAGAAAGGAACCTACACAAAACACTAAAGAAGAACAAACCACAAGGGAAGAGATCAGAGAAAAAGGTACAGAGGACAACTGTAAAAACAACCTGAAATCAAGAAAGAGCCCCCCGGACACCTTTACAAGGCAGAGAACAGGAACAGCTCCTTGGGATAGTAAGGCCTCACCCACCAGCATCTCCATATCATCGAAGGACCTCATGTTAGAATGGAAGCCAACGACCTTTTCTTTCTGGAGCTTACTCACTGGCATATTAAGCCAACCTGAACCTATCCTGTTCCCACTCCTAGAAAGCTTATGCCAAGCCCAGTAGGAGAGGCAGTAATAAGCCAGCAGTTTTTGACTCAACTAGTTCTCTATTCTTTGGAGATATCCTAAGATTCTCCAAAAACAATGAGGGTTCAGTATTTACTAACCAAAGAGGCTGCTCTCAAGAAATGATTAGATGGACCTAAGGATGTAAACTAATATGGAATAGCAGCTTGCTCCCCCAACAAGGGCCATTTTATTTCTAAGTTTTTTCCTAAACCACCAGGTCCAGGCACCTCCCATGGGTCCCACCTCCTCCCCCTCCAGCCTTGCGCCTTCATCCCTGATCACCAAGTGTCACCTTGCTGGGCTCAATCTCAAAAACATCCAAATACCAATACACACATGGTTCCCACCAAAGGGCTTGTTTGTTGCTGCTGTTATTGTTTGCTTGTTTGTTTTATTTAAGATCCTATAGTGTTGAAGCTCCAGAATTTGGAAGGTCATTCTCCACTGCTTCTGCCAGGCCTGGCGATGAGTGCCTGGCAGCTGGGGCCGGTGTTTGTAAGCCAGAGGAAGCCAGCTTTCCCACTGATCATTCCCTGGCAGTTGTCAGAAAGGCAAGTGTGAGCCACAGTTCCAGTTCAAAGGTTCAGAGGGTGCACAGCTGCTACGTGGCTGGTCCCATTTAGTCACCAGTCTGGCCCATGAGCGCACCGTGGAAGGGAGCGATAAAGCAGGCCTGCCCTCTGGCAAACAGGACAGAGAAAAGGAAAGTCAACAAGGAAGTGAAATCAGGGAGGAGCAGGCATGCCACGTGTGTCCCATGCAGCGAGCACTGTTCTCATAATGGTCTCCCCAAGGGTCCCCCTCTTTCCTGCAGAGGCCAACGTACCATCCTTACAGGCCAGGGCTGCAGAGCACTGTGCCCAGGGGGCCTCGGGAACCAGGGGACCCTACAGTTCCGGCAGCCCCTTCTCAGGAAACTGAAGAATCTGAAAAAGGGGTGACCAGGGAAAGGCTAGAGTTTTCATCCAAAGCAATGGTGCAATCAACAGGCAAATACACAAACCCTGCCGACGGCCATAAAAGAAAAGAGATTTTTTTTAAAAGTACAAAACACCTTTCCGGAGGGAACAGAGTCCCAGGGTCCCAAGGGCACTGCCAGTCGACTTTAGCAGAAGCATTGACCCTGGGGGAACAGTGAAGCAGGAGCCTCTATCAACCTGAGAAGTCAGCCCAAGTCCCTGCTCCCAGAAGCCACCTGAACCCCTGCCCCACACCTGTGGTACCTCCTGAGTTCAGTGGGTTTCTAGTCCAGCCTGGCCAAGACCAACTTCAAATACAGTCCCTGATATTCAAAATTCTTTGTGAACTAGCTATGTCTAATCCTGCTGAACCCTTTAGAAAAGAAAAGAAAAAAGAAGGGAAGGGAAGGGGCCACAAATGTGTATATTTCTGCTATGGGCTGACCAGCTCTAAGCATTTTCACTTTGAACTTTCACACAGTCATTCCCGAGATAAGGCCAGAACTTGACCAAGCCGAAGAAGATCACCAAAGGTTTAGAGGGTTAGAATGTCATCCAGGAGAGCAGGGTGTCAGAAATTCTAAATACACAGACAGATATCCTGCAGGCTTTTTGGGGGGGCTCTTGTAACTTCTGATCTCTTTTACTTTTGTCAACAGTAGCTTTCAAATTAATATATTTTTTAAGTCAACATGTTTCTCCCTTTGACTTCTTCAGAAGGAAGAAAGGGTGACATTTCAAAGGGGTGTCCAGAGGCTGGGAGAGGTGATTCCCCTGCAGTGGCATTCTGAGCAGGTGTTTCATACACACAAACGTGCCGGAGTTTCATAAATGTCTGTTTTAGTTTCAGTTCTTTGGAGAAGACGGCTTCCAGATCCTCCACACTCAGGCTGCAGCTATTCAACTTTCCACACAGGACGCCAACCTGCTGGAAAACAGGCTTTACCTAAAAGGAAAGGAAGAGTGATCAGTGCCTTCCTGCAGAGCTCCGCACCCCCTCTGCCCCCTCCCTAACAGTCTCTGTCCCGTGGTTCACACTCCCCAACCACAGGACCTTTGAAGGTGCTGCTGTCTGGAAGGTAAGGTGTACTCCTCCGGCTGACTCCTTCCCTTCCCTCAGCTCCCAGCTCAGGACCCTTTCTTAGTTCCCCACGCAGACCCCCTAGCCCATAAAGTCTTTCCTCCTTGTAGTCCTCCTTCCTAGCACTTCTATAGGTGTTTACGCCAGAGCTCAGCCAAAGTTTTAGGTAGAAGTCCACAAGGTAAGTATTTTTGACTCAACTCACTGCTGTGGGGCAAAATCAGCCACAGACAGCGCAAATGTTTAGTTGTGGCTGTGTTCCAATAAAACTTTACTCTATGAACACTGAAGTTTGAATTGCATGTAATTTTACATGCAGTTTGCAGACTCCTCATTTATGTAATTATCTGATTCACATCTGTCTCTTGCTTAGTCTGCAGGCTCCTTGTAGGCAGAGCTTTGAGTTCACTCACCTTTAAAATCTATTCAAGGCATCACCTAAAGGGACTCAGAAAATGAGGAAAGTCTGAGAGGTCAGAGCCACCACCACCATCTACTGACGCTCCATCATGGGCATTAAACAATCACACATGGAGAAGGACTGGGGACTTAATAGAATTTATAAAGAAATAACTTCTTCTCATAATTATGATCTCAAATATAAATATTACCATGCCAGGTAACTACCTACGAAAAGATATCGACGTCCTGTTTTTAGGAAATAGACACTTAAGTATTAGATACACATAATATAGCTTACTCTCAATGGCTCTGAAAAAATCCTGTGTTCACACAGACCCATCATTAGACAAATGAGGTGAAATGTTGAAATAGGAAAATCTGGGTAAAGAGGGCTACCTATACTATTTTATTTTTAAGTTTAAAGTTATCTCAAAAAAAAAAAAAATATGGACGTGGCTACTTGGGTCAACAGACTAGAAAATAAAGATAAATCTCTGCCGCCACGTCCAAGCTGTAGAGGCTGGCTTTTTTATGGCAAACAATGCCCTCTCCTCTAGGCTGCTGAGAGGGAGGCTAACCTCCACTGACCGACATCAGCAGCCTGGACACTGACCCCCACCCTACAGATGCAGCCTGAGGGCCTCAAAAGGTAAACCCCCCTTTGGGCCTGGTCCACAGTCAGGTCTCCCACTGCATCTCCTGGAAGTTCACTAATGAGGAGAGGTGGGAGCCCAGGGTCTGGGGAGCCAAGAATCAGACCAAAGGGAAAGGACCCAGTTTGTGATACCTACACCAGAGCAGACATGCACGGGAGCCAAAGCCAACCACAGCGGGCCTGCGGACTCTGGGAAGGGCAGATGCCAGCATCCACAGAGGTATGAACTTCACACACCTCCAACCTGCTAACAACTCACCTTCACGGGCATCCCAGCATCTCTGACCTGGTGACATGCCATGTAACAGATGCCCCAAGAGCATACCCCGAGGACGTTCTGCCAGGGCCCCTGCCTGCACTGTACCCCTCTGTGCAGCTGCTGATACCCCTGTGCTGGCAGGGAGAGGCACCCACACCTCAACATACACAGGGTGGAGAGAATCGAAGCAGACGGCAGGAGCCCTCCACAACTCACCCAGCACGTGGCTAACCCTTGGGTTCTGTCCACAGCAGCGCTAAACCTCCAAGGCTGCTATGGGAAAAGAGAGCGCACCAGTTCCTTCTCACACCTCCACGGGGGGCAGTTGCTCTGGGTACCTGAGAACTCCCACAGCAGTCACTGGCCTTTGGGGGCCCTCCATAAGGATGCAATCCCATCCCAAGTCCGAGCAGGGTAGCTGGCTGCCCTTCAGACCCTCTGGCGCGACGGTGACTCAGGAAGTTGGCAGGGCTGTGGACGCGGGGAGGGGGTGGGCAGGCTGGCTGTCGAGTCCCTGGTCCCTTCATTGCACCTGTACCCCTGAGGTTCTCCCCCAAGGAAGGCCCTGGGGGCACAGGTGCACTGCCGTAGCCCGCCTGCTGGCCCGTACCCTCGCTCAAACCTACTTCTCCCTGCAATGCGCTCACTCCTCCCTGTCCCTTAATCCATGTTGAGCTCACTTCCTGGGCCTTTCAGACCTTCCATAAGCTTCACCAGCTCTGAGAGGAGCTTCCTGCCCGGGAGGGGTGCCCCTCCTGGCTGCTCACAGCACCTTGTTCTTTCCTCCCAGTAGACCTTACCAGGTCATCCTGTGTCCCTGTTTCTGGTTGTCTCCCTGTCACAGCACAAGCTCCTGGAGAGCCGGGCCAGCCTCACACTCTCTGCACTCACAGTGAACGGGATGAGCAGGCTCTTGAGCTGGACACGTGGAAAGGGCGACAAGCAGAGATTTCTAAGAGGACTCCCTTGGCCCCTTTCTTTTCCCCAGAACAGCCAAACTGCTGACGACATTCCCGTATCATGGTTAAGGTGAACCAGAAAGAAGGTCAAGGCTGCCCCTGCCCCTGCCCTCCCTGGAAACTCTGTGAGAAGTGAAGGCACATTTAGGAGCTGTAACCCATGCGTCTTCCTTTCAGATTTCCAGGTGTCCTGTACAATGACATTGGGTTACCACCATCCCAGAGAAGGAGAGGGACGTGTCCCTACCTGCTCTACAAGAAGCTTGTCTGTCGGTGGAAAGAGCCCTCGACACGAAAGCACCTCTCTCAGTGCCTGTGCAGCCCCCTGGCAGCTGACCTCATGGTGCGGCAAGCAAGGAGGCGGCTGCAAGAGGGCAGGGAGGCCGCAGGAATAAACGACGGCAGGGAAGCCGAGGGGGAGCAAGGCCCCGTTTGCGAGTATGCCTGAGATGACGGACGTCAGGACAGACGTGCGCCATGGGAGCCCTCCGCAGTCCCACCGTTTTCATTCACCCCAGGACACCAAACACAGAGAAAAAAACCCCAAAAAACTAAGAACGTGGCTAGTTTCTACAAAAGCATTGCTAGTCAGGATTATGTGTGCTGTTTTCCATTTCTCTCTCTCTCTTTTTTTTTTTTTTTTTTTTTGACAGGCACTTAGGTAGCACTGTAAACTGTGTGTAAATCAGATTCAGTAGTAAATTTTCACTGCCACAAAAATTCCTGTTCACATAGGCTCGCTCCTTACAGACATAAAACTCAAATACTTTTAAGATGCACAATAGCATAGCTGAGAACTGCCCTCCAAGTGCCAATCTTGCTTTTCAAAAAAAACAAAAATGCCTCGTGAGAGGCCCACTTCTAACACATGAGCTCAGTATTCTGCAAGAAAGAGGGTGGCAGAGCTTTATTTGCACAGGTTTGGGGGTAACCCCTGCGGATGTTTCAGGCCCAGGTCGGATGCTCCAGCACCTTCAGGGGAGCCTGCAGGTCCCTAGGTCCCTTCCGATTGGCCTCAGGCCTCATAAGCCCACGTTATGCATTGCCTCTACACCGTCCACATGCTGATGTGTTCCAAGGAGGTTTGCTGCCCATCCTCAAAAGATGAGGGAGGAAGTATGCAGTGGGCACTAGAGCCTTCGGGCTCAACCTCCCAAGGAGTCCCTGCCCTGAGTGTGCTTAGCAATTGCCACTGGGTGCTCCTGGGGACCCTGAGCCCTGGGCTTCAGTCTAGGAATGAGCAAGTCTCGTCTGTTTTCTCCTACTCCCAGCCTCGCCTCCAGGGTCCCCTTGCTGCAAACAGCCACCCAATGCCCTTTGTTCCAAGGACAAGATGTCAGGCAGGGCCTCCAGGGGTGCAACAGAAATCTCATCAGTTTCTAATTAAATTCCCACAGGAAGCTCTATCCTCAAGAGGGTGGGAGGCAGGCAATTCTAGAACAACTGCCTGTACCCCCCACAGGCCATATGCTTCCCAAATCTAAGAAGCAAAAGAACAAGGGCCTCCCTCGTGGGGTAGGCGGGGCTGGCAGGAGCGGTGTGTTCTCCCCACACCATCCCTTTGGACAGCCTTTGTCACAGATGCCAGTGCCACCTACCGGACAGATGGGAGGAAGAGCGGCATCGCCTTAGGGGGTGCCCAGAGGGTGTCACAAAAGTCTCCTGTAATGAACTATGGATGCCGAGAGGCCCAAAACATCAGCCACAACTGCAAGCAAGGCCAGCCAAGCTCAAAACATATGCAACCAGGATTTAATCGCCTTATGAAATATGGAGCCGTTTCAAAGTGCCAGGGTTCTCTGTACTCCGTTTAGCCACCATTTCCTCTCCTTTAATTAGCCTTTCTAAGTACACAGTTGGAATCTCTTTTCTACAGCGCCCACCCCACGCAGCACCCCCCACCCCCGCCCAAACTTCTGGCCCTACACATGATGGAAGCCCAAAAAGAAAGCTGGCGGCAGCCTCGCCCTGCCGCCTTCTCTTTGTTTCCTGCCTGGCTGAGGCATGCGGGATCTAAGTCACGCGGTGGTTTCAGAACTACACACGCGTAACAGTAAGAGCCAGGCTACTGCCTGGCTGCGCTGGCACCACAAACATGATTTTCCTCTTTGCAGTCACTCATGGGATCACCCAGGGTCATGATCCAGTCACATCCGATTTAAACGTCCTGTTTCCCAGAGGGAACCAAAACATTTAGTTGAGCTACATCTAAACAGGAAAGACAAGGACCTGTGAACAGATCATCACATGTAGACAAAAAAGTTCTCAAAAGCACTAAACAAAACATAAAATTACCCTCGAAATTCTTGTTCTTTTCAAATGTATTGCCCTGAAAAGTTGTTCATGATATGCTGTTCAGGTGAAAAATTTTCCAAAACAGCGTGAGTTGCGTGGTCCTATTTCTATAAAAAGGAAAGTTCCACAAATGTACTCACACACACCCTAGTGGTTATCGTGAAGCGGTGAGATTAATTTTATTTCCCCTTTTTCTTAACTGTATTTCTATACCATACACTACACCTGCAATTTGAAAAGCCTCTAAATGGTCTAAATGGACAACTTATCTTTGAGCCTGAGGACTATATAACAG